ATCCACTGCTAAACTAAGCATTTTGTTGTTATGTGATATAGCCAGTAGAAAGATGAGAACCATTTCATCTACTTCAGCGTTTCGGGTCCTTTTCAGCCCACCATCCGAAACTAAAAGGTCACATAGCTTCTTGAATAAACTACGTTTCATCCTAATCTTCCTGTGACTCTCGGCATCACTGAATTTGGTACATTTGTCAATCACCCTTTGCCTATCGTACTGACGCATCATGTAACTATCTAAGGGCTGCCTACCAATTTTGGGATTACGAATTAGCATCTCTGTAAGTTCCATCACCTCCATTCCTAAATTGACATAAATCATTACAAGGTTCCAAAATGCACTAATAGCAACAATCACTTTGCGCCTTTCCGTGGCAGACATCGTGGAAAGTCGGGACATCCTTTATCAAAAATTGAAATTGAATTAAAAACACAGCAACTACTATACTGCAAACATTGTGGCCAAGAACAACAACATACTAACAACAACATACTAACAACAACTAAGCTTTGGGGCTTGCCCGCCATATGCAGTAGCACACATATAATCAAACAAACTAACAAACAATAAAGTAAGCACAACACAAAAGCACAGAGAAGGAAGCTATAATGGCGGCATTGGAATGGTAAATGGAATCAAACAACAACAAATTAAGAAAGGGTAAATGGAATGGTTTATTTGTTCGGTCAAATTATTTGGCTCATTGAAGGAAGGTTTGGATGAATTAATGGTATGGTGAGCAAGACAGCAACCGAGCACAAATCAGCAGAGCATTCTTTGTTTGCCCATCTGGCCAAATAGAACTGATGGGAGAAGAAGCCACAAACCAACAGTGCAAACATGGCTCCGTCCCAACCTGGCTCCGACGAGGAATGATGTTCTACGCAGGTAACCCACAAAGCAACAGTACAAACAAATGGGAGAAGAAGCCGACAACACGCAAAAACCCAAGAACAGAACCCTAAATATCCAGATTGTAACCCGAAGAAGAGCAACTAACCTGAAAAGACTTGACCTAGCAGACCCAACGCCTCTGCTACTCGACCGTCGTACTGCTGCGTCGTTGCCGCCGATGTGGTCGCTTCAGATGCCCACACCCTCGTTGAACTTCCTTTCGTCTGTTGAGAGTGAAGACAGGCAAATGGGTTTATGGATAGGTTAATAGAATAAGGAGGGTAAAGTAGGATTAACATAAAGAGAGCATGGGCATTTATGGAACAAAATGTCCAAATATTGTGGGATTTTAAAATAGCTGATCCCCATCAGCTATTTTTAAATCCTACACTTGTAGGTTTTCGAAATCTCTCATGATTAAAATCTCTCATTTTTTTTAGCCTTTCCAAATGAGTGATTTTAATTAAAATCCCACACTATGTAGGATTGTGCCCAAATCCCACACCCAAAACCTACATCCAAATGACCCCTTAGAGAATTAGGGAGATGAAATTTGTGGGTCCCGCCACTTTTGGGGTTCCAAATCTGTGGACCCCACGGACTTGGAAGTTCCACCTCTTGAGGTGGGATTTGGGTGATGGATTAAAATCCATGATGGTAAATTACCTTTCTACCCTTACTTATTACTTTAATTACAAAGTTGTCCTACTTTAATTCAATGGTCATGCAATCATAAACTTTTATAATGTCGTATTTTATATATATGAGAATTTTTCATTTCGTTTTATAATATCATAGTTTATTTAAATATGAATGTATATGTGATTTGTTAGATTCAACTATAAACATTTTATGCTCATCTTGTGCATTATTATTTGATTGATTGTCGGATTCCAAAATCGGGGAGTTAGCAAGAAGTTGATGAGTTGTAGCAATAAAGCGAGCAATTGATTGCAATTGATACATAATATTGCATACATTATTAGATGAGTTGTTAATTAGTGCCAAACTATAATACATTTCTATATTTGTAGTTGAATTATTAATCCACATAGTGGTAAAGAGTTTAAAATTTCATTATATGCGTTGGATTTTTTTAATGAAATTCATGAATTATAATATAGAAATATAATTAGATAAGATAAGGGTAACAAGGTAATTTGAATTTCATATCCACAAATCTATTCAAACAAAATTTATAATCAAATCCAACAAGCAAACAATAGACTTGGTCAAATCCATAATGCCACCAAATCCATCATATATCCATGGTTTTCCAAAATGCAAATTTTACCAAAACCCTCATTTTTCAAATTCATGAAGCAAACGACCCGTAAATAACCAATTACAAAAAGAAAAGAAAAATGCAAAATCATACCTACGAGAGAGAACATTTTTACAGGTCTGCGGATTTCTTGGACGCCACTTATTATTTGCTGTTGGGTTCAAGTTGTGGGTTAGATTTCATGTTACACAAGAACCCATTTCCTGCCTGTCTCTGTCTCTGTGTTCTCTGCAACTGCCTGCCAACGATATGCATTCACTCATCATTATTACTTCTCACGTCAACCCATCAAAGAGATATGAAATTGGACTATGCCTTCATCTTCCTCTGTTTTTTGAAAGCTGCCTTTTCTGCCATGGTGATATTAGACCTCTGGACTCTGGCTGGGACTGGGTACTGCAATTTGACCTACATGCCTACCAAGGTCGTTTTCTACCTTTCTTTAAAACATGCGTATCATGGACTAGATCACAAAATCTTCGTTGATTCACAATCGTTGGATGTAAGTGATTGTAGTTCTGCTAATTATATAATTACATGCATTAACGGTCATGGATCGCGTGATGTGCGATCTCATCGAGTAAGCACTTATAAGAAGAAAAAAATTCGACTTATCAGCGATATTTTACAATCACAAAGGTTTTCGGATTTCACTTTGTTTGACACCTGTTGTAATGGTCCTTTATTGTTCGTTTTGTTCAATATTTTCTCTGGGTCTTGTGGCTTCTCCTTCGATTGGGATTGTTTTGCGTCACGGTAAGTGTTCCATTATTGTTTGGTTCTAGCTTGCATGGTGTAATCCACATCTTGTAATGGTGATTTTTCATGTAATGTAATATAAGAAGATTCACATAGTAAACAATCGCAATTGAGAGATCGTTCGTACATCACATGATTTTGGGGTCCATTGATTGAAGTGAGTTTATGATATGATACATAAGTGAGTTTGTTTTTATATTTTCCATGTGGCTTCAAATAACATGTTGTACATTTTAGTAAGCCATCGAAGAGAAAATGACCTATGATTTTGTGACCTAAGAAGAAAGGTCAATTGGTTGATGAAAATGAAAATAGAGTTATATATAATTTATTAATGTGGGGGGATAAAATATGAAAAATTATTTTTGGATTATTGCCTTGAAAGCCTAAGCATATGCACATTCTTCCTTTTCACTTGGTACCACATCAAAGATGAGTGGTGGAAGTGCTTTCTCAATTGGGGGAAAAAAGTGACACTTCAGCTTTTGTTTTGGATGGCAACTTCTTGTAGTACACATGCTTTTTGGCACTCTTTTCCTTTTGGCAAATTTTCCCTCTCCAATGGAACAATGGATTGGCATTTTTCTTTCAATAGGTGAAGCATAGAATAATTATAATTAGTTAATTATTGATTAGTTACAACTACTTGCAAGAGTATACATTTCTTATTGGTTTGTTGGGTATATACAAGGTTGAGATAGTTCGTAACGTATGGGTTGAGTTTTTGTTATTATAAATAAATATGACGTGTTTATTGTATCAATTAATTCCTAACTCGCATTTATAATGTGAGTCTAACTAACCTATCACGATGTATTATGGTTTTTGGTTGACACATGTTACATGTACAGTGATGTACTAGTAGTTAGCACCAATACTATTTATCTAGTTTGAGTAAAGTGATCTAAAGTTTCATTTAAATTAGGTGCATCTACGATCAACCTATGATTAGCAAATACTTACAAATGAAACTTGTACTACATGATCATTGGAAAAGTGTAGCCTTTTCTATTGGAATTCGGCTCTTAAATATCATATCACATTTCAATGTATGAATGCGTCTTCCATTTGGGACCAAAAAGACACTAAATTGAGTGAGAAAATATAAGCTTGCGTTTATACCGTAAGACGCTAAACTCATCCTCACTAATACATACATGGATTTGTAACACAAGTAAAAGTCCAATCAGTGAACAATGTAAAAAAAAAAAATGTTTGTATTTATTAGCTGTTGGGCTAAATTCTATTTTTGCCCGTGACAAATTTTTTGTAGGTCCTGTGAAACACAGATAAGTTCTATACTTCTATTTTTCTTCTTCCCATAAGGAGTCCTATTTATCATAAGCTCGAATAGCTCACCCCCTTTAACAAATATTAACCAAAGCTCACAATTAGTTTAGTTGGGAGTTCAGTTTAGACCTTTTCGCCTCTTGTTCTGGGCTACCTCTGTCTGGGATACCTCTGCCTCTTTAGTTTGGAGTAATCCACTTCACTTCCTTATCCACCACCAGTAATCTCGTTTATGAGATTCACTGTGATGGATGTCTTTTAGCGATTCCAAAAAGGACATATGGCGTTGTTGTGCCATGAATTTCGCTGTGATAGTACGAGTTGATATTGGTTTTGATGCTGCTCCATTTGTATGGAAGCAAGGAGGAATTTGGGTATATTGTGTTTGGATCAAGTGTCCAGACTCTTTAGGTGATTATTTTCACTCATTGTTTTTGCTCTTCGTCGATATTTCTCTTTGGGGTCGTTTGGAAGTTGCGATTGTTAAATAGATGTATTGTTGAGAATGCATGTATAATATTATACATGTATTGTCGAATTTGATGCATTGTAGAATACAACGTTTGATATGTGTGATTGTGTATGTCGCATAAGCTAAAAGCCGAGACAAAACAATCTCAACTCAACTATCTCAACAATCTCAACTAAAAGTTGAGATATAACAATCACTCAAAATGAATGATAGTTTCTGTCACATCATAGAAACAATCCATGTATTGTTTCTGCTGAAAAAATAAAAAAACGATGCATTGTAAAACGACCCTTTTGACACGATTTGTTTTCAACTAATTGCTTTGAAACCGATGAAATTCACTTTGTAATTTTTTTACTATTTACCTTTTTATTTAATAAAGAAGAAAGAAAAGGGAGTAAAGAAAAAGCACAAATCCCACTTCTGTCTGGAAAGTCTCAACTCTCTGAACACACAGGTATCCCATTGAAACACTCAATCGAAGAAAGACAGGAGAAACTAATAAATGGAATCCCAAGTAAAAGTAAAAAAATAAAGAACTTGGTATAAATTTACTAATTTAGTACAAACAAAAGCAAGAAAGTAAACCCAGTAGTGAATCTCCAAAACAAACATTAGTTAGAACAAGAGGACAAAATACTGATATGGGTGCAGGCACCTAATCCTGCTATTGCTAATGGTGCTCTTCCTAATCCTTCCCAGTTCCCACCTTTTAGAATTCAAAATATCTGTTTTTTTATTTCCTCCATTTTCTTTATTCAGAAAAGAAAGAGGATAGGAAGAATAATTTGCCAACCAAATAAAATAAAAAGGAAAGAATATGATTATTAAGTTATATGGTGGAGATTGCAGCAAAGGCAGAGGAGAGGTAGGGAGGGGTTCCATTGCTGAAGAGGATATGAGAGGGACATCCAGCAATCAGCTTCAGCTGAGAGATATGCTGCTGGTCTAGAGAGAGAATCTAGATAGAGAAAGAAGCTAACCCAGATTGGGTTTTTGTGTGAAGAAGGAAGGAAGCAGAAGAAGAATCAGGGAAGGGGAAGGGTTTAAGAGGAGGGGTTTAGGTCTACCAACTGGTAGTTAAGAGATTGAAACTCCTTAACCAAATCCCCATAAGAAAGAAACTAACAAGTTGTGAGCTTTACCAACAACAACAGCAGCAAGCAACATAAGGAGGAGATGGGAGAATAAGCTCTAGAAGGCTGCTGCTGAATCCACAAGAAGAAGGGGAAGTCAAGCTGATTACAGTCTCCACCAACCACCAAGATATAGCCTTTTCTTCTTACTCATCATCATAATTCTATCTCTCTCTCTCTCTCTCTCTGCTTTCACTCTCTAGCTGCTATTTTCCTTTCACTCTCAAACTTCGTTTCAACAAACTGTTGGATGGGGATTTGAGGCTTGAAGCAACAAAGCTCCAACCAAAGCTAAGAAAAGAAAGGGGATCCAGAGGGAAAGAAGGAAGGAAAGAAAGAAAGCTTAGCCTAACCCTCCCACCACCACCACCACCACCACCATTTCAACAAAAAAGGGCCACACAGTGATTGCTACAAACAGAAAGCTATCATTTGGTATTCCCCTTTGAGAAAGAAAGGCAAAGAAAGAGAAGAGAGGGATGCTCACGTGGGGATTTTTCTATGGAATGATGGATGGAGAATATATGATGGGAGGAGATAAAAGATCAAAAGTGAGAGGAAGAGACTTATGATCCCTCCCCCACAACGAGCAGAAAAGAAGAAAGCGAGAGAATAGTTCATTGCCATCTCCTTTCAATTATCACTTCCTATCTTTTCAGAGGAAAAAGAAGACAGGGGTGGGGGGAAAAGAAGGAATTTTTTTGCTTCTTCTAGCCTTTGTTTCTCCCTCTCCTAGAGTGTATATTCCTTGAGGAAGGACTTTGTATATTGTTATTTTTGTTGGGTTCTTCTTCTTCTTGTTCTAAGTTAGTGGTGGATCGATCGATGTGTTTGAGGTTTCCCTGTTCCCTGAGGCACCCACAAAACTGTTTACTGGTTTCCAGGTACAAATTTTTTATTCAGCCATTAAATTAAGCTTCCCTTTTGCTGCCAAAGTTTTCATCTTTTTGTTTTGCATTCTTCTTATCTCTTGGCTGTCTCTTTCTCTCCTCCATGTGCTTGATGGAAAGGAAGAGAAGAAGAGGAAGATGGGTTTTAAGTGGTGGTGACTGTGGTGATGTCCCAATAGGGAAATTGTTAATTTATTGGCAACTTTTGTGTGTGTTGGAATGAGCAAAAATTGAATATGCTGTTGTGTAGGGATTTGCAGATTCTGGGTTTGTCTTGTTTGTGTTCTTTTGCAGGAGGGTGTTCCTTTTCCTCTTCTTCTTCTTCTTTTTCTATCTTGGGGTTTGTTTGGGGTTGGTGGATGCTTCTGTTCTGAAAGTTTTGTTTCCTTGATCTTCTTTTTTATTCTTGGGTGGTGTCTTAAGTTACTTAATGTTGTGTACTAGATTGGTCATTTCCCCCCCTCTTTTACCTTGCCTCTTGGGACAACTAGGAACCAGGAGATGATGAAGTTGTCAGAGAGACGAAGGTACTATGATGTTTGGTTGCTCTTGTGTAACTTCCTTGATTGGTCCTGTGAACTTAAGCCCTTACTCCACCTCTTGCCTCTTCTGGTTGGGTGAAAATTGCTGCTTTGATTACTTCTTCTGCACTGCAAATGGAAGTTTAATGTACAGCTGATGTTCATTTCAGTTGAGAAGGGGGTGACTACGCGTGCAATCTGATTAGAAGATCTTAACATAAGAGGGAAAAGGAGAAGCTCATGATTTGAAATAAAAAAATGGCAACTTACTATCCCAGTTCCAGCAATGAGAGGGAGGCTGCTGCTACTCCAATGGTATATCTTCCTGGTGCATATTCCGAGACTCCAGTTCTTACCGGCAACATGATGATGTACATGAATCCCGGGTCATACTCAGATGCATTACCTAACAATGCTCAGCAGCAAAACAACTGCATTGAAATTCAGTCTGTAGAGGGATCAACATCAACCCAGCAGCAGCAGCAGCAGCAGCAGCAGCAAGAGATACTGACGAATTTTGATGGATCACGAGTCGGTGAGCATGATTTCAATGCTTGGAGAGATGGCAGAAATGAGATGCTTGTTATGCACTCGATCGCTGGTACTTCTAGCAACATTCTTCACCAGAATTTGCAAGGACAAGGCTTGTCTTTGAGCTTGGGGACACAAATCCCATCTGGAATTCAAATGCCTTACCGGAATGCTAACCCAGGATTTACATCATTCTTAAGTCCCAATCCATCTACTGTAGCTGAGAGCCCAACTGGTAGGAATGATCAACCAAGGAGTGCTGAGTTTTTGGGACATGGTGTCTACCTTGGTGGAGGAGTTCATCAGGATGCTGGCAATAAAGGGGAATATGCACAGTATGGAATGACGAGTATAGCAAGAACCATTCCTAATTCCAAGTATCTCAAGGCAGCACAACAACTGCTTGATGAAGTCGTTAATGTTCGGAAAGCTCTGAGGCAGGCTGATAAGGACAAGAGCCAGAAAACAAATGAGAATGATATGAACAACAGCTCCAAGGAAGGAGACAGTGGATCAAAGAATGATGAATCTCTGAACAATTCAGCCAACGAGCTTTCGCATTCTGAAAGACAGGAGCTGCAGAATAAGTTGACAAAGCTCTTGTCCATGCTGGATGAGGTAAAACCCAATTGTTTGATTTCGATTGTTTTCCTTTTCATCATGTCTTAAATCTTAATACATCATACATCTCTTAGCATCAACTGATTGAAGAACCAAATTCTAATGCAGGACTTTTTTCATTAGATTTGAACTATTAAAAGTATTTTTTATTGTCTACTTAACAACATTTGGTCTTACATGATCCGAATTTAATATAATGTTGTTATAGAGATGCTGTTTCTGGTAGGGTATTTTGATTCAGATAAGGTCTAAAATTTCCTCTCAATATTTTCCAGACAACGATGTTTGGTAGAGATACCAACTTTCTTTGATACAGCAAATCATACTCCCACCTAACTCTCACCTTCTACTTGACATATCATAACTGTTGCTTCTAGAATATTTTGTGAACCAAAAAATCTTCTACCTTATGGTTTTCCCGGTTTCTGTGTGTTCAAAGCTCGAAACTACCATCATGATCTCATACTGTTGATAGAAGGTACAACAGTAACACTGGTTTCTTCGGATTTTCCAGGTTGACAGAAGGTACAAGCAGTACTATCACCAGATGCAGATTGTAGTGTCGTCATTTGACGTCATAGCAGGCTGTGGGGCTGCCAAACCGTATACAGCTCTCGCCTTGCAGACCATATCTCGCCATTTCCGGTGCTTGAGGGACACCATTAACGGACAGATTAAGTCTGTCAGGAAAAGCTTAGGTGAGCAAGAGACATCAGAGAATAGCAAAGGTGTTGCAATAACACGGCTTCGGTATGTCGATCAGCAGCTGAGGCAGCAGAGGGCTCTTCAGCAGCTTGGCATGATGCAACAACACACTTGGAGGCCACAGAGGGGACTGCCCGAGAACTCTGTCTCAATTCTTCGTGCCTGGCTGTTCGAGCATTTCCTTCATCCGTAAATATTCGATCTCTCGATCCTTCTAATCCTATGTATTGTGAGTTTCACCATTTGATTATTTGGTCTCATAAATGATGTTTAATCTTCAGTTATCCGAAGGATTCAGACAAGATTATGCTGGCTAGGCAGACTGGATTAACTCGAGGCCAGGTAAGAGGACAAATGACCTTACTTGACAGACAAGAAAAAATGCATTCTGTTTTGCACATCAAGTGAGTTTCATTTCCTTTATAAAAAATAAAGAAATAACAAGTTTCATTTTAACTTGGTTTCACTGTCTTTGTTCAGGTCTCAAATTGGTTCATCAATGCACGAGTACGTCTCTGGAAGCCGATGGTGGAAGAGATGTACAAAGAAGAACTCGGCGATGCAGAGATGGACTCCAACTCCTCCTCCGAGACGGCTGCTGCCAGAGCACTCTCAAGGGCTGACATGAGAAGCTCCGAGGACCAAGGTGAAGAAATGCAGCACCAACAACAAAGTGTGACCTCATCTTCCGCGATAGAACAAGCTATGGAGAAAACGTCTGATCATCATCATCAACATCATCTTGTTCACGACATGGATATGGTTGGAGGCTCAACCGCGAGGCCCCAATTCCAATTCGGCACAACACATGGGAGGCTTGATGTCGACAATTGTGGCCTTTACAATGAGGCCATTGTTGGGGGAGGTGGTGATAGTAGATTCATGGCAGCAGCTGCTGCAGCGTACCAGATGCAGGAAATGGGGAGGTACGGTGGCGGGAGTGGGGGTGGTGTGTCGTTGACATTAGGGTTGCAGCATTGTGAAGGTGGTGGTGGTGGAGGATTACCAATATCCAGTGCAAGCCATCATCATCATCCTAACCACGGATTTGTTTCCATGAGAGGTGATGATATCTATAGTGCAGCAGCAGCCGCAGCAGCAGCGTCGTCTGTAGGTGGAGAGACGAGTGAGTTTGAATGTGTAAACCCGGGGAGTAGGCAGCAACACAGGTTCAGTTCCTCCCATTTGTTACATGATTTTGTAGCGTGAAAATGGTCGAATCCAGATTCGACCAGGATTGGCTTGTTGATGGTGAAGAAGGGAAAAGCTTGTGTATACAAACACTGTTGTAGCATATTCAGCAAAGAAGTGGGAGGGGCCAGAGGGGAGTGGGGTGGGGTAGAATATTTGTAAAGATACATAATTTTTTTGGCTGTCTAAAGAATGTGGGAAGAGTTAAGTGTACAATTAAGTAGTGTCACAATTGGGGTTATTGGTGAAAGGGGGGAAAACAGAATACATTCATGGTTTTGAAATAAAGATTGTTATGAATTGGTAAAAACCATTGGTCTTTTCTCTTTTGATTGTAGTAACACCAGCTTGTTGAGTAGAGACTGGGGAGTTGCTAGCTAGGCAAGGTTGATTATCTTTGAAGAAATGCTGAGAAGGGTCTGTTCATGTCCATGAGTATACATGACCAACAGCAGCTGTGGCGGCAGAGGCGGCTGCCGCCGGTGAGCCACCGCCTCTGCGAGCCATAGCATTGTGTTGTGGAGGGAACAATAAAGCTGGGAACTTGATGGGTTAGTGGATTTTGAAACTATGAGAAGATTGATTGACGGGTGGTCTAATGTGGCTATTTATAATGCTCTCATCAATGGGTTTGTGAAATGTGGCCGGCATGATCAAGCTGTAGAGGTTCATGTCAAAATGTTGAAGGATAGAGTTGAACTGATGTGTTTACTTCTTGATTAGTAGTTGATTATTACACACCGATAATCACTCAGGGAATTCCTAGCTTTCCTAACTATAGAAGGATGCACGAAAGATGTGAACTTTCATGATGCAATCTGCAGGTTTGAGTAGCTCAAACAGACAAATGTCTTCTATCTCCAACTCCTTATCGTCAGCGAAAGCACCCCATCCTAGTCCCAGGTTCAAGCCGCCGCGCTCCCTCCAAGAGAATTGAATCGCCCACTCTCTTCCTCTGCTGCTGCTGGAATCTCTGACTTTCATCTGGCTGCAATTGGGGCTCAGATACTTGTTGGCAAACTCACCCGGCACATACTATCATACATCATCATCATCACAACAACAACAACAACAACAAAGAAAGAGCGTTAAAGCAACTTCCTTTTCATGGTTGGCTACAACAAATCATAAAAGAAATGAAGAACTCAAATATCTCACAGCCATAGGGTTTGACAGATTGTAGTGCTGCACAATCAGCATGAATGAAGGATTCTGAAGCTTGAGCTTCATTGCAGCAAAAATCGCCCTCTTCCCTGATGGTGTAGCCTTCTTGCATATCTGTTCAAAGCTCTTGCCCACTATGGTCCCAATTCTACCTCCTGATCTCCCCTCTTCATGCTCATCTTTCACACATTCACAAATTTTTTACATTATAAAGTCTCATGCTTTGACTGTCATTTCCAAGAAAGAAGCAAATTTGAAGGGGTAAAAAACATCTTACTTGGTCTGGTGCCATGATGATATCTTGGGCTCCTTATAGGATCACCATTTGGGTACTCGATTTCGCAGCTGGTTGGATCATAGATCCGGACATGGAAGTTGGAGTTCCCTTTGTACTTGAACACCAGCAGATAGCCATGGCTGATTGAGTAGAAAGCTGTGAACTCAGACCAACCGCGGCATAACATCTTCATCCCATCCCTCCTTCTCTTTACAATTGCCATCTCCCACGTTCGCCCATCTGGAACAATGAAAGTTGCTAAACTTGCAAGCTCACCCCCATGTTGCATCACAAAGTTTGGTGGCAGAAGCTGCAATTAATTGAGTAATGATTCGAAACTGAGTTCATATAGACAGCAACCTGCAAATTTAAGAAAGATAACCAAACAGAAGAACCTCCAGGCAATGTAGATTAAAAAAGACAGTTTTTTTGCTTACCAGCTTCTTATCAATAATTGCAGATGGAAGAATGATCTTGAAGAAAGATGGAGAATCCATTGTTGTTCTCTTGATTCTTTCACTTCTTGAGAGCAGTTTGCTTGGTTTTTCTCTTCTCGTTCGGCCAAGAAATGAATACCAGCACTTTGTTTAGAATTGTTTTCTTATCATGTGCCTTATTTTCCATGTTTGGTTAAAAGAGAGTCCCAGAGGGAATTGAAGCAGCAATGGAAGTTAGTGCCAATTTCAGGAATGAAGATGGATTGCTTTATGGCTCTGTCAAAATGAACATCAAGATAGAAACTGTACAAACTCAGTGTGCAACCTCTAAATGTGGAATTTGGAATCTATTATTACTGAAATGATGTCATGATATTCAGCCTACCTAATTGTTTTCATGATGCAACGAAATGATGAAAACCAGGCAAGCATGTGTGGTGGCTGATTCACTGTTAGCTTCCTCAAGTCTTGAAAAGCTTTGCATGTTCAAGTTCTCTGTGACTGTGTTCTGTATCTGGTTGTTCTTCAACTCCCAACTTCAGCAGAGATCTGAAAAAGCAGTCTTCTGTTGCACTAATTAGTTCAGTCTCTTTATTTAACTGAACTAAGAACACCATAACATCTCAAGAGATTCAACGGAAGAAGGGGGGAGAAACATCTCAAGAGGCTCCAAGCCCTGTAACTAACTACACAAATAAAAGTCTATCGTACTTTATATTTCCATAATTTCAGTCGGTCAAAAATAATGTTACCATCGCATACTGTCATGAGACTACCACAAATGAGTTCTTCAACATCAATCTTCTAAAACCAAGAAATCAATGACATTTAACCATATAATACACTTAATCAATCTTATTTCTCGATAAAAAATTGCGACACTTGAGTGATCCAACCAAGCTCAGCTAACGGCCTAGTAACGCAATTGAAGAAAATGTCTGATGAAGGGACTACAAATGAATAGAAAACATAATATAGAGACTTATTTGTTAATAACCATAGCATTATACGGACTTATTTGTTAAAATGACATTCTGTAGAGACTAGAAAGTAAAATTAGTTCTTACCCTTCCACTGTCCACTCCATTTCACCGTTCGTGAAGGATTTAGGAGACCAGTTTGAAACTTGAATAGAGGCTTTGATAGGCTCCCATCTCCGCGGCGACTCACTCTGACGCTCATTACCATCGTGAATTTCCTCGGAGTCTACTTCACAATCCGATCAGTGAACCCACAAAACCTACTTCAATTCCTCAAATCCAAGCTCCACCACCACTCTGATTACCGCCATTATGATCTCCGCTCTTCAGCTGGGCCGCGACGGTGGATTCTTTCTGACACGATCACACAACTTTCGAGTGGATGGCCCGCAGTCTCGCCAACACCAACAGGCTTTCCGACCTCACCATCCATTTCACGGCTCCAAACCCTTGTCCTTGCAGTGAAGGTAATCTTCTTTTGTCCCATAATTGAGCCAATTTTCCAGCTTTCCATCAACGCTTTACTGTAAAGCTGGGAACTTGAGTGATAGTCTGATAGATAGGTTAGTGGCTTTTGAAACCATGCGAAAAGTGACTCATTGGAAACCTAATGTTCTGATCAATGGGTTTGTGAAATGTGCCTGGCATGCTGTAGAGGTTTGTGGCGGAATGTTGAAGGATAGGGTTACACCTTGCTGTATTTACTTTCAACATCTTGATTATGAGTTATTGTAAGAAGAGGAAGTTTGGGATGGTTTTGGAATTGCTTAAGGAGATGAGAAGGGTTGTAGCCCTAATGTGGTTAGTTTCATTACTTTGATATAGGGTTGGCCATACAATTCGGTGCCGAGTGTTTCGAATTCGATGTGTTATATGATCATTGTTCGTTATTTGATTCGATCGGAGCTAATCTTATGAAGAAACCCGAAATCAGGCTTAACACCACATTAAATTTGTATCATAGGATCATCATCTTCATTCGATTCAAACACTACAATTATAGACCTTTCTTGGAACATGATCTTGTACATTAGACGCTAGAAAATATCTTGCAACAGCTTCAACTTAAACACACATACCACAAGGCCAGTTTGATCATCCAAACAACAGCAATCCAAGTTTTTTATCTTATTACACACCGTTAATCACTCAGACAATGCCTAGGTTTCCTAACCAAGGATGGAAGCACGAAAGATGTGAACTTTCATGACACAATCTGCAGGTTTGATCAGCTCAAACAGGCAAACGTCTTCTGTCTCCAACTCCTTGTCGTCTGTGAAAGCACCCCATCCTAGTCCCAGATTCAAGCCACCACGGTCCCTCCAAGAGAATCGAATCACCCACTCTCCTCCTCTGCTGCTGTTGGAATCTCTCACCTTCATCTGGCTGCAATTCGGGCTCAGATACTTGTTGGCAAACTCACCCGGTACGTACTAGCATGCATCATCATCATAACAACAACAACAAAGAGCGTTAAAACAACTTCCTTTCCATTGTTGGCTACAAAATATCATTAAAAAATGAACTCAGAAATCTCACAGCCACAGGGTTTGACAGGTTGTAGTGCTGCACAATCAGCATGAATGAAGGATTCTTAAGCTTGAGGTTCATTGCAGCTAAGATCGCCCTCTCCCCTGATGGAGTAGCCTTCTTGCATATCTTTTCAAAGCTCCTGCCCACTATGGGCTCAATTATATCCCCTGATCTCCCCTCTTCATGCTCATCTTTCACAAATTCACAAATTTGTACATTATAAAGTCTCATGCTTTGACTGTCATACCAAGAAAGAAGCAAACTTGAAGGTAGTGGGTAAAAGATCTTACTTGGTTTGGAGCCATGATGATTTCTTGGCCTCCTCACAGGATCACCAGTTGGGTACTCGATTTCACAGCTGCTTGGATCATAGATCCGGACATGGAAGTTGGAGCTCCCTTTGTACTTGAACACCAACAAATAGGCATGGCTGATTGAGTAGTGAGCTGTGAACTCAGACCAACCACGGCCCAGCATCTTCATCCTATCGCTCTTTCTCTTTACAATCTCCATCTTCCAGGTTCGCCCATCGGGAAGGCTGAAAGTTGCAAACCTGTCAAGCTCACCTTCGTGTTGCCTCACAAACTTCATCGGCAGAAGCTGCCATTACGTAAGAAAAATAAGAAACGACTCAAAGTGAGTTCACATACAGCAAACTGCAGATCTAAGAAAGATGAGCAAACAGAGAAGAAGGCAATGCAGAAGAAGAAAGCAAGTAGGTTGCTTGCTTACCAACTTCTTCTCATCAATGGCAGATTGAAGAACGATTTTGAAGAAAGATGGAGAACCCATTGTTGTTCTGCCCTACACTACTTGATTCTTTCACTTCTCGATAGCACTTTTGCTTAGGTTTTCTCTGCTGGTTCTTTCAAGAATGGAGTACCAGCAGTCTGTTTTGAATGGTATTCTTATCATGTGCCTTACTTGCCATGTTTGGTTAAAGGAGAGTCCCAGAGAGAATTGAAGATGCAATGGACGTTTGTGACACTTTCAGGAATGAAGATGGGGACCTTAAGCTGTATTGCTTTATGACTTTGTCAAAATCAAAATGTACCTCGAAATAGAAACTGTACAAACAGAGTGCGCTACCACTTAATGTGGAATATGGAATCTATTGCAACATAAATTATATCATATTTTTCCAGCTTACCTAATTGTAATCATGGTGCAATGAAATTATAGAAACCAGGCAGAATGTGTGATGACTGATATACTGTCTGCTTCCTCAAGTCTTAGAAAAGCTTTGCGTGTTCCATTTCTTTGTGTTCTGTTTCTGGTTCTTCGTTTAACTCCCAACGTCACCAGAGACCTGAAAAACCAGTATTCTACTGTTGAACTAATTAGCTCACTCCTTTTCCTGAACTAAAAACATATCTCAAGAGGATCCAAGCCCTGATACTTCCCGGAAAAAAGTTTCTCATACTGTAAATTGCTATGATTGCAGTCGGTCAAAATGATTTTGGAGGTATCATACTGTCATGAGACTGCCAAGAACAGGTTCTGTAACATCAATCTCCTTAATCCAAAAAACAAGGAGTCAAGGGAATTTAACCATATAGCATAGGAAAACAATCTTATTTCTCCATTTTCTGTAAGCATGTAGCCTTCATACATCATCAACCCCACGATCCTTCGCTATTGAAGATCATTACATACAACATTTGACAAAACTCCAATAAACAACAGCGTTTCACAAACTCTTACCTGCAAATGTAAGAGCTCCTATATAATAGGTATACTACTAAATGGCTGGTTTAGAGCAAGCCTTCGCAAAACAAACTTGCTCTTTCTCTGAAGCCCATACAATATATATATCCGCTGCTCATCAATGTCCTGAAGTCTGAGGTATACGGAAAGAGCCCCCCGAATAAAGCATCTGGTAAACAGGCCTTATTCTGATAGTCAAGATGATGCTCAAGAGAGTGCCAAATCCACAGATGGCAGCTAGAACCAGGAATGTCACCCTAAAGCATTCATGGCCTACGCAGGTGGAGCTTCCTTGCTTAGAAGCTTCGACATCATACATAGTCCCAGCAAGTCCTCCTGAGAAGAGAAGAGCACCAACAGGATTTCCAAGTAGCACAAAGTTGTAAATGACGCCAAAATGTTTTAGGCCAAAGAGCTCAGAAACGATTGGAACCATAACAGAGTAGAGGATTCCGTAACAGACACCAATCAGAGCTGTTGCCACATACAGCATGCCATCAACACCGAGACCAAACAGAATAAAAACTATGACCATGATCGCTTCCGCTAAAGTCATCCACACAGACCTCGGAGTCGTGCTTGACCTGCAATATCAGCATATGTTACACAATGGTATTGGTCAACTTGAGAAAGGATTATCCAGGACTCTTGGTACATAAATGAACAAGTATAGAATGTTTCTAAGTTGAAGGAATGACCTGACAAAGTACTCGGAGACAACGCCAGATCCAAGGCGTCCACCAAAGTTACAGAAGCTGAAGATGGCAAGCAACATTGTTGTGTCATTAACTCCAAATGCGCTCCCGATCTGGGCCAAGTTATTCAGGACAGTAATTCCTGAACCAACTCCAAGAAAGTATACCATCCAAAGAAGCCAGAAATCAGCTTTTACTGCAGCCTCGCGGAATCTGAAGTCCTCACCCCTCTTAGGTCTCCTTTTCTTCTTCACAGCTCCCTCCCCAACAGCAAGAAGTGTTTCAACATCTGAAAAATCCTCATTCTCAAGGAAATTCCCTAGATAAGCTGCTGATTCTGATTGAACCAACAAAGGCTGCTCGGTTGGTGGGGTTGAGTCACCTTCTTCAGCAACAGGAGCAGCAGCAAGATTTGAGGCAGAAGTTGGTGGGCTCCGTTTCTTGGCAGGAAAGAGAGTCATTTTGACAGGAATCGCCAGAGGAGAAGCCATAATAACCACCATGATTGCAACCAATGTATAGCAAGCAGCATTGCTAAGAGCAAATACATCAGTCACTATAGTGGTTGTCAGAAGGTAAATGGCAAGCAGAACACTTGCAGCCTGAGTGAAGAGAAAATGGACATGCACCGAAGAGTCTTCTCCAGAAGCTGGAGTACACACCCGAATGAAATACATCATCAGTAAACATGTAACTGGGATGCCAAGGGTTAGGAATAATAGGAAGTTGGATGAAGAATCCTTGAGGACCATGTTGTATATCACTGTGTAAACTGCAGCAGACAGCCCAACATAACCTTTAAGGATACCAGAGACAGTGCCCCTGCTGAGAGGGAAGTTTCTCATATTAGTTACAAGAACAGATGTGCCGAACCATGCATTGCTATTTGTTCCAATAACTAGTGCAATCCATAACTGCAATATCAGAGTGGGAAAAGGTCAGAAGGATGAGGAAATGAAGAACAAACACAAGCCAAAAGACACTCAGCCAATTACGCACTTTTCGAGAGGAACAGAATCCAAACAGCAGATAGCAATGCCATGCAGCTAGCCACAGACGTAAAAGTAAGGTTCGAGATTGTTCAGAAAGCAGTAATTTACGTATGTTACAAAAAAAATGTCACGGAAGATCAGCGAAATTGATAGCTCCAAGACCACTGAGTCGTTTGTTGAGGTTAGTTCCCCTGCTAAACTCGAAATAATATCTGTCTAGGGATGTATAAAACTCATTCCCGGCCTTGAGGCCTGATATGAGAAACTTAAAGAAGCAAAATTGACTACGAATCAACTCTATAAACAGCTAAAACCCTGAAAATAACTCGAACTCTAGTGGGATGTGGAAGATCAAAATTGACTATTAAGTAAACTCTACAAACCCATTCCTTACATCCCTAAAACCCAATCAAGACCAAAGAACTAAAGAAGCAAGCAGGTCTATCCACAAATTCCGATCCAACCATACAAGTCCAGGAGATCAGCCGTTCCAGTGGTAGAAATTCGATCCAAAGAACGGAAGTAACAATGATTGATACCAAGACAAGGAAGTTAAAGATGAGAAAACAACTCTGCATCACAGTCGCAAACAATCAGATGCAAAATTCAACCAAGTAAAAACAGTTTAGGGAAGATGACAGATTTTCACTGACCAGCCAGTAAGGCAAGCCCACAACAGTCTGGCTGACAGTGAGCCAGAGAACGCCATATCCCAAGAAACACATAACGACGCCAACGGAGAGAACAGCCCATGGAGGGAACTTGTTGCAGGCGATGCCAGGGAGCAAACCAACACTTTCCCCAATATCATTAGCAACACCCAGTATCGTAATCTGCTGCTGGTTGAGACCCATCACGGCTTTGAGCGCGGGGGAGTAGAGAGGGAATGTGTAGCCGTTCCCTGCAGCTACCTCGACCCACACAGCAGCAGCTAACCCTACCCATGGCGGCCGGCTCCCTCCTTTCACTATGATGTTTGGCATCTCTTCTGGGTTTTCAGCTTCACCTTTGCTACCAGATCTTTTTTTTGCTTGTGGCTAGCTAGCTATGTGGGCAGTGTGCACACTCTGCTGCTCACACATGTAGAAAGGAGAGAGCTTTGCCAACGAGGTGCAATAATAGACAGAGTTTCTTGGACAGTTGGACCAATTTGAGAGTTTTCAAAGACTGGGACTTTCTCGCTTTGGCCAAAGTAATTTCAGGTCCGTACACCTTTTGAAGAGACAATTATAATATTTTAATGAGTTTTTGGGATCCTGTCTGCTGATCCAAACCAGATTCATTCCGCGGGGGAAATTATGGCGCAAAAAAAACAGGAGGGAGATGAACAAATGATGGTTAACTCTTTGTTGCAATCACGTGGAAGCATGCGATGAAACTCCTTGTGATTATTTAGAAAATGCAGGAATCAACCATTTGGCGAGGAGAAAAAAAAGTACAGAGTTTTAAATGACAGAATTTTGACATTTTGATTTGAAAATGCCTCTTCATTAAAAAAAGTCAAAATACACTTGTGTGGCCAAAACTTTAACGTTTATGACACTTATAGTCATTTTTGGCGAAATACCACTTATAGCTACTTCCGTCCAATTCTTTAACGGTGTCAACTAATATGCTGATTGGACTAACAGAAAGGCTGATGTGGCGACACAGGTGGAATTAAACAAAAAATAAAAAAATAAAATAAAATTATAATTTCTTTAAATAAAAATAGCCAAAACAAATTCTCTCCTTCCAATGTGCCTCTGCAAGAACTCGAGCAGATCCACCATTAATGGCGGACCAAAGCAAGCAAGGAAAAACAAAAATTTCTCTCCCTCTCATCTACTTCGTCTTCCCCATCTGTCCACCATCTCCATTATCGCCGTCAGAATCACTTCGATTTGCAGAGATCGCCCCAAATCTTCGTCGGAAGATGGATCTGGGTTTGGAAAAGAAGAAGCCGACGACGGGAAGAGGCAATCGCAGATGGAGCAGCTGCAGACGAATCCAGAGCAGAACGAAAACAAGAGAACGGCGTACCCGGAACCCTATGTAATCCAAATTGCAGATCTGGAAAATTAGAGGGCTCTCTGTTTCTTTGTTTCCGCCATCTCCTCTGCTAGTCTGTTGTCGGTCTGCTGCTCTCCAATAACAGCCGCCAACAACTGGAAACAGAGAGCTGGAATCTAGTCCTTCCTCAAAGCTCGAACGAAGCGTCGCTGGGAACCCTGATTCTGGGTTTCGATTCATTTATTGAAGGCCCCGCTAATGGCGGATTGAACGAAGCCGTCGCAATGGAGCAGAGAAGAAGTAGAAGCCGACACCGCCACAAATGCTAGCTTCATGCTTTTTCGCCCTAGTCGCCGATTCCGCAGTCGGCAGTAGCGACTGACATCTCCCAATCGATCGCTTCGTCTCCCAATCGCACCCATGGCCATCACCATTCACTGGGTCAGATCGGCGGCACCGATTCCACAGCCGACAGCAATGACTTCCATCTCTGGTGTCGCGAACAGAGGGAGAAGCAGAGAATGAGGCAAAATACAAAGCTGCCGGGAAGCTCCGACAGTGCGAGGACGTCTTCGTCGGATTCATCTGCGAAGGATACTCGATCTCCTCTACAAACCCGATTTCGCAATCGGGGGCACGAAACTGGGTCGTCATCTTGTTGTGCTTGACTCCGCACTCGGACAAATCGATTGCAGCGGAAGACCGCTTTTGTTGGAAGAGAGGAATTTTTTTTTTTAATTCAATCGATCTGGATTCAGAGCACCAAATAGTTCATGAGTTGGTGAAAGTGGACGAAGATGAAGACAAGAATAAAGATGATGATGATGTGGGTTGAAGCTGGCGATGATTGTGTGGCAGGAAGTTCTTCGATTGTGAAGGGGATGAGGGGAAAAATCGAATTTTGTTTTGATTTTAGAAGCTTCAAAACCAGCGAGATTTGTAAAAGGGATCGCCAGATTTATTTTTTTTTATTCAATTTTGTGATTAAATAAAAATAAAAATTATTCATTTTAATTTTTAATTAAAATAACACGTGGCGTCTAGTTGTGCGATGATTTGGCGTCCTAGTCAGCCTAACGTTAAACTAACTGACGGAGTCTCTAACACCGTTAAAGTTTGTAATTGAAATGGCTATATTTGGCACAAAAGTTTCAAAATTCTGGCTATAAGTGGTATTTCTTCAAATTTGGCTATTATTGTTACAAGTGCGAAAGTTTTGGCTATACAAGCGTATTTTGCCTTAAAAAAATTTAGACCAAAGGATCTTGATATAAAGTTGAGCATCATATTTAATGGTTTACTATCGATTTTAGCTGAAGGTGTCGGGATGATGGGTTTGATGGAACACAAGTCAAGTGCAATTTGATATCTTTGGAATCAAAGTTAGAGTGCATTGACGTGTCAACTAGATAGTTCTCTTGATCAATGTCTAAAAGAAGTAGCAAATGGACATATTTGAGCAATTACTTCAGGGAATCAAAATCTTGCGTCTTGATATTTAAAACTTTCACGATGGGAGTGGTGGAGGACCGTCAAATTGAATGATCAATTTTGGTCTCTAGGCCATTCTCACTCCAACAGTTTGGTAGTGTAAGCTATATTCGTGAGCCTTGTAACCCTAATATACTAACATATTGATATCACATAGTAAACTAACATAGAAGAAATAGTTTTTGTGAAAAAAAAAGAAAAATAAATTTTTAGATATAAAGGTCTGATATTTTTCACCAAAACAAATAAAGCTTTAGTATAACTCAAAATAGTCTCTTTTTTACACAAAATAATATTATATGCGGTTAATGTGAAAATTATTGAATCTATTTTGCATGAAGTTCATGGTACTCTTTACTCCTTGACATTCTCTAACTATTGGAGAACAAAAATTACGGAGCCATTAAAAGAGGACAAAAAATCATTAAATTGAAACTTGCAAGAGAGCTGTTTTCCATGTAGAGGGAATGGGTCTTCACATATCACCATCCTCAAGCCCTCAGCAAGGCTAAGATAGGCGCCCGACGAAAACCATAATTGATTACAGCCCTAAACTTTGGCTTCTTGAAAACCATTACAGCCCTAAAACAGCCCTAAACTTTGGCTTCTTGGAAACCATAATCACCATTTACATTTTACAGAATTCATGTTCAATCTATGTACACAGCAGGGGAAAAATCAAGACAGTTGATAGGCTGTCTGATTGATACCTAAGACCGATCCGGCACTACAAGAACTCAGGAGGAAATTTGCAAGAAGACTTAAGAGGATAGACAATTTCCGACTTCACTTAAGGTTGAACAGAAAGATGCAAGGGAAGTAAGAGCACAACCCATCAGGATAATAGCAGGCTGGAAAACTCGAAACCCAGCTGGCCTTCTCCACAACTTGGGGGCCATTTTCTTGATCACGATCACCTGAAAATGTGCAGAAAGGGGACTAAATTAGTAAAGATTCTGGACCGAGTACGATGTTAGAATTAAGCACAAGACTGATTGACATGCTAACCTTTTGTACAGAACCCTAATATCTTCCCTCACTAGAAAACTATCCAAGAAGGGATCACCGGACTCTTCCAAATGAATTTCCTCCACTTCAAAATTCTGGTAACCACAATACTCGTGCCATTCAAACCACATTTTGGCAATCGCCTCCTTCCTGAAGCAAGCACTATGATCTTCCTCCTCGGGCGAATCAGCAGTAACCAACCGGTATGCATACACTTTCTTGGTCTGACCTGGTCGGAACGCCCACCCTATAGCCTGGCGGGTCACGGATGGATTCATATGAACATCCAAGATCAGAATCCGCGATACCCCTACCAGTGATATCCCCTCTCCACAACCCTTAATCGATCCGAAGAAGACTTTAGCATCGAGTGACTTGTTGAACTGGTTCATGGACCACTCTCTCTGTTCAGAACTTGATTCACCCGAGATCACAAATATCTCCTTCCCCATCATCCACCCGAGATCACAAAACTTCTCTTGAACTTCCTTGCAAGCTTCTTTAGCTCATTGACCTCGTGTTTTTGTCTATTGCTGAGGTTAAGCACCATTGTGAAATCCACCAGTCCATGAAGTTCATCCAAGAAATCGCCTTTGTAATAATGAAGGACCTTGCTGGTCATCTCACGAAGATCTCGGATGATCGACACTTTTCTGTTGAAATCGGGATCCTTTTGAATTGTGTGCTCAACAAGTTCAAAAAAAGTTGCGTCGGCACCTACTTTAATTTGTTTCCTCAGCCCCGAGATGTTTCCTTTACTCAAGATCCACTTCACAATGCCCTTTGAACTGTCCAGCCTCAGGAACTTGGGACGTGCAAGGTTCAATATATTAAACACCTTTTTCACATGATTCTGGTACAGGGTTCCCGAAAGCACAACTTTTCGAGGAGTCTTGATTTTTGCGAGAGATTGCAATACATCGGTGTTTTCATTCCTGGGAGTGTGCCCCTCGTCAAGAATAAGGATCAAAGGTCTTTTAAGAAGTATCTTTTGACAGCTGGTTGCAACCGAGCTCCCACTGTCGCAAATGATTGAGGAGAACTGCTTGTAACCCAAGAAAAGAATGCTCTTCTCCTCCAGCCACTGCTTTAAAATGTCCAACTGCTGATGCCTACTATCAGCTTTCATGGTGTAGAAGTCGAGCAATGGAATATTCTCAACTTCCCATCTTTTAAACTCTGCTTTTCATGTAGATCATATTCATTTTGGGAGCACCACCAAGGGCCTAGCGTGAGGATATTTAGCTAGAAAGCTTTGCATAAAACTTATTATCATGAATGTCTTCCCGGACCCAGGAGCATGAGCTAATATGCAGCCTCCGGGGTTATCCGATACCAGATTACTGCAAAGAAAATTGAAACCTTCAACCTGATGAGGTTTCATAACTTTCAAGTGCCTTGGGTGGGCAGCGATTTCCGTTGCCGTCATGTTTTCTTCTGATAGTTGAATTCCAATTGCCTCTTTTGGATCTCGGTCCTTTTATGTCTGTGTACTCATAGATGTTCTTGTGCTCTTTTTTGCCTGCACTGATAAAGAGTTAAAATACATATTGGACGCTAGGTTTAAAGTAAAGACTATCAGGCCTGTAGCTTGTTAGTGGGAGGCTAAGATTGCAGTGTCTTTTTCAAAAATAAAGAGTATCAACAAGTCCACTCTGTGAGAAAATGGAAGATGAGAATGCTAAAAGTGACGTCAAGACAAGAAAACGGTTTAATACCATGCAGCGACCATGGGATCTAGAGCATTAAGAATCCTGAAAACCAGTGCAGCACCACTGTTCACTTCTTAGGTTGTGGTATTTGACCAGGTAATACCTATTGCTTACACTAATCAAGGGAGGAATAATAGAAATGGCAATTGAAAATAAGAATAATCTTAACTTGAGAAGTTTTGATTTGGCAAACATGATCAGTAACTGTTCTCCTGAAGATCTTGAATGATCACAGAGCCAAGAAAATAAAAGGCAAGAATATGTTTACCTTATAAAATTGGACTTCAATTATGCTCTCAATCCCCCGCTCAATAACTCCACAGATGCGACAAACATAACCAATATCATCCTTTAAGATGAAAGAATGGTCGCATAACTCATCATCATCTTCCAAGTAATCATCAGATAAATGGTGCTCCACGTCTTCCTATCAGAATCCAAGTAGAAACATAATAAGCAAGAAACATCCACACGTGTCTACAAATAACATCCTAACTAAAACTGCAAAAAGAAAAACCAATATGGATTTGTACTCTAGAGGAAATTACCCCAAATACCAAGAAAAGGAAAAGTTCAGACCAAAATAGATTACTGGCTTCCAGTAGATTCAAACAAGCCATTAAGGCATAATGGAGCATCACTTTCATCTTGTAAGCTAGTGGTGCACTTAAGAATATGACTGTTTGAGGAGAAAGAATATGCAACATGCAAACTTGAGATAATTAATTACCTTAGTACATTCCAAGGCCAAGGACATCTCATTCCAAATATCTCCCAGACCATCATCAACGGTTTCAGTATCATTATCATCATCAGTGACACCAAGTAAGTCCCTTTATCTTTCTTGATATCAGGTTCTTCCTTGGTATCAGGCTCTTTCTTGGAATCAGGCTCTTTCTTGCCACCAAGTTCAACAGGAACCATTTGTGGCACTCCTCGCCGTCTGTTCTCTATCTGGAGGTCGTTATACTGATATCAATATACACAAATGAAGACCATGTTAGCATTAAGGTTCCAAAATAAGAACGCATATATGTCGAACACTCAACAAGCAAAACTATCAAAAATATTATTCCCAAACTAAAACTAGCACGAATCCTGGCAACCTGTACACAGCCTAAAAAGTGCTATTTATAGAGGTTAGTTTATCGTATTGAAATTGAAGAGAACCATGTCCTATTAAAGAGCACAAACAAATGTACCCTATTATACAAAACGTGCATTTATATTTCTAGAAATTTATTTGTCAAACGATATAAAATGAGAGTAATGTGCTTTTGTGTTATCACATCATCTTCCACAACATCAGGGCAGATAGTGCATCTGCATTGTCTAACAATGTAACAGTATTACTACGTATCTGAACATACAATTTTGATGTTATGTTATCCCGTTTCCCAACATTGCAGCAGTATAGGGGGAAAAGTCCTAAAAGAAAAGGCTTCAGTAACAGAAAATGAACCTCATTTTCTGTGACAATTTGTCCCTCAGGCTTCGGCAAAGCCAACTCCTGGAATGGAAGAACCACCCGTGGATCTTGATTGTCTTCATCATCTGAATCAATAATAACAATAACATTTGTCACCTTTGGAGCATTATGTCCCACATCATCATCATCCAGATCTATGAAATCATCCCGCTGTACCCCTGAAGCACCTTTAGTTGAGCTCTTTTCTCCACCCTATAATATTTTAGAAAGCGACGGATATTTCTGAAGATAGGGGCTCAAAACTTGAAGCTTGTGCGTAAGCAAGGCTTTAATGTCTTCAGTAACACTTCCATATATTCCAGAATCAAATATCTCAATCATGTTGGATACAGCGAATGGATCAGAGTAATCCACCATATTAGAAGAACTTGTTTTACTAGGTTTTTCCCCGTCATGTGATAGTTTGATACGTTTATGGCCTTTAAAATAAAAATCTGCAAACAAGTACAGCAAATAACACAACTAGTGAATCATTCACAATAGTATATGCAGATGAAGCACAAAAGAAGATCAAAAGATGAAAACAGAACCGACATATTCTGTTATCTTCTACATCACACAAGAAAGAACACGACGAGCTTAATTCTACTCCGGCATTCGCACACTTGAGTTAATTCGCTCTCCATTCCGTTGGAAAATGCAGTCAGGTGTTTTGGATAGTGTCAGTAATCACATGCAGAGAGTGGAAACTTCATACTGTTTTACCATACCATACCATACATCATAGCATACCCTTGCTCAACAAACCAAGACACTAGAGGAAAAATGGCGGAAAAAATGAAATATCCTCCATACTGAAAATGGGAATCGCAAAATACAAGATAAAAGAAGGGCAACAATCTCGGCTTAGCCATGCACAGTCCTTAACAGCATGTTTAACCAAGAAATGCAGAAAACTAGAAACAGTACCTTCTGGAGTAGGACGGGGGCCATTCCGGGGCGCGAGGCAGAATGCAGCCTCCATTTGAAGTCTAAACAACGAGAAAGCAAGAGAACTGAAAGAAGCGATCAATTAGCGTAAAGATTCATGAACCAGTAAAAGAGAAGCAACGGGGGAGCGAGACGGGGGAATGCTACCGGAATTTAACTGTTACGGCGAGTAATTGACGAAATTAACTGGCTGACTGGTGGTCAACTCATGATCGGCAGGGGGTTTTAAATGAAAGGGGTAGGGCTCCGCCGGTTAGGAGTGGAGCGGTAAATACGCCGCAGCAGCAGCTTCAGCTGATCGCCGCCGGCGAAGCCGATACAGAAAGTAGACGGAAGGTTAGGGATTCGAATTCCTGCACATGTTCAGCTAGAATTTCCCCCCCCCCCCCCTAATTGCGGTGAAATTTGGAGACTGAATTTAGGGTAACACTTTTAATGTTGAATTGCAAAGTGATGTGATAATATTCTGGCAAATAGATTGGTGGATTGGATCCAGAATGGATTGGATAAATCATAGATCTATGAATTAAGTAGATTAAATCAAATGAATTTGTGGATTGATCAATGGATTCAAATGACATCTATGTTTGAGATCAAAATGTAAATTTTAAAAAGTTTAGGAACTAGAATCTCATAATAAAAAATTTAGATACAAAAACATAATTTTCCAATGATATACTTCTAAAAATTAAATTATAGATACCAAAATGTAACATATAAATATATAGGTACTAAATCGTAATTTATCATTTGGATCCATGGATCAATCCATGAATCCACCAATCCAATTGGATTGGATTTGGATCAAATGGATTGAATTTAAATGGATTAGATTAGTTGGATATTTAAATCGATAGATTGGATTGATAATTGTCACCTCTAGATATTAAAAATGCAGTTGTATTTTTTTCTCTTTTTTTATTTCATTTATGGATAAAATAATAAACATAAACCTTTTATTTTATCAAATAATTAATTTAGATCCACATATGCAATTGCAAATTAAATGCAATAATGTAGGTGAATGAAATTAAAGTGATGTGAATTGCAAAAAAAAGGTTTAATTGACAATAAAGAAAACAAATACAATTGTTATGGATTTGTATGTTAAATTATGCATTTAGCTATGGTTCCTACTTCCTCCTTGGAGATTTGAAGGTGTCTTCCCTCAAGTTCCCTCCATAAAAAGCCTATAATGAGAGAACCCTAAAAGCAATAAGAGATTAAAATCTCTCAAAATTTCATTCTAATGGTCTAACTATCTCGAGTACCTGGTATAAGATAAGGCACATAACCCTTACATAATTAGCTATGGGTCCTTAAAATTGAGTGAGGTAAGAAAAGTCCAGATCTAATAGATGTGAATTAATGACTTTACTTTTTCTAGTTTTCTTATCTTCTAAGAAAAGTCCATTTGGATTCTTATATTCTTTCTTCTAACTTGGTTTTGTTTTCTTTTCAAATATGGAACGAGTTCGTTATGTCAAAATGAGATCCATTTTCAATATATTTAAGGAGAAAAAATTCATACCACTCATATCACTTGGGCACCACCTTCGTTTTTAACTCAAATTTTGAAATTTTTTGCACAAAACGAACTAGTTCTTCATGATCTATTAGATCTACAAATTTCGGAGAAAAATTAAGGGACCAAAATATACCTCCCTAATATAGAGGTGGTAACTGGTAGTAAACAATGATGAATGTGGTAAATGACAGTTCGTATATTTTTATTGTCACGTATTTAACCATCCTACACTATGTTATGTTCATACTGCCATGCTACCTTTCCACACCAAGTATGCTCTTATGTAATATCAAACATTACCACGATGGTATACACTGGTAATAAATGCCTCAATTTGTTTGTTCAAAAAATATATCAAATTGAATATAATTTTGAAGAGCAGATTATTGCCCATTGAAAAGCACAATTTATCTGATCATTTTGAAAAACATTTTTTTTTAAATTACAACTTAAAACAAAAGAGATATAGATAATTAAAATTCATAAAAAATAATATGGACTTTCTAGTTATATTGTAGGCTATATTTGACCATAACGTGTTGCTCCTAACTAGCCCTAGTTTGGCCTTGTCATTTGTGCCTGCCTTTCCGTTCTAATAGGGGTGGGCAACGGGACGGGACGGGATATCCGTCTCGTTTGAAACGGATACCGAGTCCTATTTGGAGAACAATCTCCTTCCCATGTCCCAAATCCGTATGTGTTAACCGGTACCCGTTACCAATATGAGACGGATAACGAGTGCCTATACTACCCGTAAATACCCGTCCAATAGGTACATCTTTGTTGCTTAGACTTGCTTTTTCACTTTGGATTTTTGATGTATGCTCTGTCATTCATTATGCAATGCAGCTATATGGTTCACTTACCTGAAAGGCTTACCGAAATTGGTGGTTCACCTTCAGTTACTACGACATGGTTCAATTAAAAAAACAATCTAGACTTATTAACTTTGTTTTTATTTCATGAAACTCAATCCTACGTTTAATGTTTATTTGCTCAAATATAAATAAAAGCATTGAGCGGAAGATCTAACGTTTCACTTGGTTAACCACTAACCACAACGGTTAAACCGCAAAAAAACCACAAATAACCACACTATCTCATAAACATTTAATTCAAAACTTACCAAGTTCAGCAATTTTCACAGGCCATGTCCAAAGAAAAATGAGCATGTATGTCCATGAGCCCATCCTCATTCCCACCCATATCTACAAACTATTTTATTATTTTAATTTATAAAAATTTCAAGTATTCCAAGTAAATAAGATAGAATAGAATGCAGCTTAGATTGTTACTAACTTTCTTTTGGAACTTATTTATGAAAAAATATTATAATGTAACCATGAATTTTCTTTTGTATATTCGGTTAAAAAGATGGCACAGATTATTAGAAGGCAAAAATTATTTTGTTTAGTATATTCAAAAATGAATTTTTGTGGTTAACCACACTGGGGTGTGGTTTGTGGTTAGTGTTATCAGTGTTTTATGGTTGTGGTTAACCGCAAAATATGGTGTGGTTAACCACAACCGCACCGCCTTCCACCCCTACCCGTAACCCTAAAAAAAAAGGGGATAGGTACGGGTATACTCAAATTTTCGTTTCCCGTTGCCCACCCCCTACTTTCTAATTTCCGGGAAAATTTCCGTTCTATCTCTTTACGCAATAAATAAAAGTGAAATGGGGAAACTTGAACCATAATTCTAAATTTCCTCCATCTAGAGTGAAAGTAGGAAGGATAGTTTCGTTTTCACCGTCAATTATTATTTTTAATTATTTATTATTATTTTATTTACATAAAGAATGCATCAAGTATGAGATTTGAACCATGGACTCTCAAATAAAGATAAGAAACATAACCAGTTATACTAAACAAATTTGTTTGATCTTTTTAAATTAAAAACATACAGGAAGGTTAAAACTCAAAAATCATAAGACTTTTCCACCATCGTTAGCTAATCTACTAACTCGGCCGTATTTTTTTTTTTTTTTGGGTATTTGATACTTCGAATTTCATATTTTTTATATTCTAATTTGAGTTTAATAATTACTTTAATTTATATTTATCTTGTAAAAGGAAGGTAATTTTAAATCGCAACCCAAATGTCATCGGTTTAAATATTGCATATAGAATTGCACTCTCTTTTTTTTTCTTCGTTGAATCGAATTGCACTCTTAACTGTGCAGAAGCGATGTAAAATGATTAACATGGACTTAATTTTTATAACTACCATAAATCAATGATATTTTATTTTTTGAACACATAAGTTTTGAGTTAATATGTGGCACATGTGTCTTTAAGAGAGGAATAAATATGAAAAGGTTGAGTGATGTTGGTTTGCCGAATGGCGAACGCGGATGAAAAAAACACTACTCATGTAATTATGAAAATGGGCCGGAATAGTGCCCCGATCCCCTAATCGCTCAACCATCGTCGTCTCACCAAACTTTCCATTAGACTCAGCAACCGGCTAACCTCATCACCTCTATTGTTACGCCATAACAATTTTTGGAGGGGTAAATATGGAAAGATTGAGTGTTGTTGGTTTGACGAATGCGGATGGTTAAGGCGCTACTAATGTAAACAAGCTCAATCCCACTAAACGTTCAACCACCGCGCTTACTTTCGCTACACCTAATATAATAGTAAAATGGAAAATGTGTCTTCCCCATTACAAAATCCTTGCATCCATAACGAAAGTAGGAAGAGAAGATTCGTCTTCAAAATAATTTATTATTTTGTTACAAGAAAAATAATACAGCATTGATGAGATTTAAACTGCAGTCTCTTTGAAAAAAGACAAGAAACATAACTAGTTACACTAAAAAAATTAATCTATTTAAATTAAAATCATATAAGAAGTTTAAATTTGAAAAATCATAGGAATTTTCCACTATGTTTAGCTAACTCACTTATTCTCATGTAAATATTTTTCTTGGTATTTAATACTTCTATTTTCATATTTTGATTATTTTAATTTGAGTTTAATAATTAATTCTATTTTTGTTTATCTTATAAAAGGAGAATAATTTTAAAATTGCAACCTTGATGTCATTGGTGCAAATATTGCATATCCAATTGCAGTATTGAATGTGTAGAAGCGATGCAGAATTCTTAACATAGACTCAAATTTTATAACTACTAGAATCAATAACCACGGCTACGCCGCGGGAACTAACTAAATTTGCAACAACACGATCATTTAACAGGCAATTCAGTTGATAGCAAACTAAGTTCGTTGTATTCTTGAATTTCGCAGTATTGAAAGTGCAGCTAATTACCTTCCTCGTGAATAGCTGGCTTTCCTTTAGTAAGAGAAACATGGACAGAAACAACACCCAACACAAAAAAATAAAAAATAACAATAATAATGCCTTCTCTTGCATAGCTATAGCTGGCTTTTCATTAAATAAAAGAAACAATGGGATAAAATCAACACACAATATGACCACATGGACTAATGAGAAGAGGAAGATCAGAAGTAAAAGACATCCCAATTCGATGCAAAAAAACATTGTAGTGTTCAGTTACAACCTATAGATTTGTGGTAAGCAATCACCATAACTTTGTAAGCGAAGTTTCCTTTATTCAGCTGCAGGTGCAACTGCAGTTTAGCTAAATAGCAGCCTATCAAACCCATAATGCAAATTCTAAAACAAAATTTATTTTTGTCAACTAAGTCAATTAACAACTATGTACTACGTCACAAAAAATCAAATGGAAGAAACCCATTTGATTCCACTTTTGAAGATGACAGAGGAGAACCATACAGAAACAACACAAAACAAATAGAGAGCTATTGCATATCAGAAAATTGGAATCTGTATTCATAAAAAAAATTGGAATTTGTACCACTGTTAACTGCAGACCAAAAAGTCCTTCACATCCTCATCGATAAGTCTTCATCATC